TTTTCTTCTTCATTATTATTATTAATATCAATAATAATAACTTTCGCATTAATCAATAACAATCATGTAAACTCTCAGATTATTATTCAATGTGGTAAAATTGCAAATAGTTCATGTTCTCCAGGTTATTGTTGTAGTATATTTGGACATTGTGGTCAAACTCCTTCACGTAAGTTTAAATTTATAAACTTTCTAGATTCTCGTTTCTCACCACATAATTCACCCACACCACACATGGTTTTTTTTTTAGATTGTGGAACCGACGGATGTGATCCAACATATGGAGTATGCGGACAAGTTACTACATCCAATGGTCTTACAAGTGTGATGACAACAATGACAACAACACCTTTACCAACCAATTCAGCTCAAACTATAGAAGCTTCTTCAACAACTCCAAAAACAACTTCTAGTGACAGTAGTTCTACACCTACCACTAATAATTCTTCTGGTTCATTTATTAAAATACATAGTGGTAGTTTGAATGGGTTATTTATAATTGTCATGATTGCAGTTTTACTCTTATAACGAATGTTTAATATTCTCTTAATCGATCAATAGATAGATTAATTAATCAGTAAAATGTTTTATTTTTAATTGGTGTAAATAATATAAATAATATAATAATAATAATAACAACAAAGATGATATAGATGATAAAAAAGAAAGAAGAGTAAAACAGGAACAAGTACAAGAAAGTGGTGGTTCGTTGGAAAAGACGACGTTGAAACAGTTGAAAGAACGTTTAAAAAAAATTACTGGCGTACCTGTTAATGGGCAAAAAATAATATTTTCTGGAGGTATGTTGCTTTTGGAAAAACAGTGGAGGAGAGAGAAAATATAAATGTGATTATTAATTATTTAAATTTAAATTTGCAGCTGTTATGAAAGATGAAATTGCTACTTTAGGATCATTTGGGCTTCATCATAATTCAAAAATACTTTTAATCGGGACTAAACCAAATGTAAAAATTTATAAAATTTTAATTAACTTTTTCTTTTTTAAATTAATTTTAATAATCTTCCCAACTCGACCTTCCCCACGTCTATTTTGTAGGCAAATGATTTGGCAGCAACATCCTCCAACTCATCAGAAGAGCATGCATTAATACAAAAAATAACTC